AAGTCATTTCAGTTCCACGGTATTTATATACATTAATTCTGACATCTTCTGGTAGATGATCTCGTGAATCAGGTAACTTGCCAATATATAATTTCATTTGACTAGTTCATACTACCAGTTGTTATTCAGTCAGTTTCTTTGAAATTATGAAACTGATTAATGGTTCCCTTATTTTTTTAATGGGTCCCTTAAGTTCTTTTTTGGAGGGACTCAAGGGCACTTTGCAGTCCCGGAAGTGCAAAAATATTCATTTACAACATTCCTTATTTATTATTTCTCTGCGATTGCCAAATAAGGATGCCGTATCTACACAGAATACTAAAATGACGCAGATACGGCATTATGGCTTAGAAAGTCAGCAAATATGTGTAACAATGAAAGCCGTATCTGACTTTTCAGTAATGAGGAAAGTACCAATCGAAAATCTAACATCGAAGTGAACAATAATACGATTTCATTCAATAAATATGGAACTATCAAAACATTCAAGTTCTCAGAAATCTTCGACGAACATAGTACCCAGCTGGAAGTATATCGAGTTGTGGCAGTTCCCATAGTCGAGCAAGTCCTGCAGGGATATAATGGGACAATTTTCGCTTACGGACAATCGGGAACTGGTAAAACGTACACCATGATTGGGAATATTATGGATCCGGAACTCAAAGGCATTGTACCAAACATCTTCTCGCACATTTTTGCTCAAATAAGCCTTGCAAATAAAGACCTATCCTATGCTGTAACGGTAACCTACTTGGAAATTTACAACGAGGAAATTAGGGATCTGCTCTCTGAAACGCCAGAACGAAAGTTGATGATGCGGGAAAAACCTGGAGTGGGAGTCTTCATCAAAGACCTGTTAGGATTCACAGTGCATTCCTTAGAGGCCGTCACGGAGATTTTAGCGAAAGGCAACAAGAATCGTGCTACAGGTTGTACAAAACTCAATGACAACAGCTCCAGATCACATGCAATATTCAGTTTACTTCTTGAAAAAAAGAATAAAGTCACGAATCAATCCACTTTTGGAAAACTGAACCTAGTTGATCTTGCAGGATCTGAGAGGGTTAATAAGACATTAGCTACTGGAGATAGGCTTAGAGAGGCTGGAAAAATCAACTTATCTCTCTCAGTTCTGGGAAACGTGATATCAGCTCTCGTTGATGGAAAGAGCAGCCACATCCCTTACAGAAATTCGAAGCTCACAAGATTGCTCCAAGACTCTTTAGGAGGAAATTCACTAACTGCGATGATCGCGATGATCAGTCCTGAGCTGTCAGACTCTGAAGAAAGCATGTACACCCTCATGTATGCTGATAGAGTGAAACACATCCAAAATCGTGTTACTATCAACGTTGAAAAAGAGAGCCTCATAGAAACTTTCAACACCAAGATAACGGAACTGAAACAGCAACTCGAAATGTTGGTACTAAAAGAGCAAAAAGAGGAGAAACGAGAACGTAGAAAAAGTAAAATGTCTCTGAACCAAATAGAACTAGATGAAATAGAAATAGAAAAAAGTATACTCATCAACCGAATCGATACTATCCAGAAAAAAATTCTTGTTGGTGGTGAGAATCTGATTGAAAGAGCTCAGCAACAAATGGAAATGTTAGAGGATACAGCAAAAGAGTTGCAGCACTTAGACAGTTCACATCAACTACTAGGTGAAATACTATTCTATAAGGAAAAAGAAAAAGGTCTTGTAGGAAGAAGGTTCGCCTCGTTACAAGAAGAAGATAAAGAATTAGATAGAAAAATTGAAGAGACGGAAAAATTGTTGTCGAAAGCTTCTAGCATTTTGGAAAAAAAGGAAAACGAATACCAAAATGAAATCAGTCAATTGCTCCACACGAACAAGTCATTGGCATATCCCACTTGGTTATGCCGCAAGTTATGAAGGTGAACTCCCGCCCATTCTGGTAATTTTTTATAGTACATATGAGGAGCCGTTCAAGTTTTATGTAAGCATGTTTATTACAACTATTTATCCCACTATTCCCCTCGTCAGCCAGAGTAAGCAAACATCCTATTCCCCTTCCATGCTGATGTAAACATCTGTATAAACCAGTAGAATGGTTTATATGCATTTTTCATGTTGCGTTGTCATATGTGTAAAAAAGTAAATGACTACTGCTCGCGTAATCACCATCTAAAACCCCCGCCCCCATGCCCAAAAATAAGCAAAGCAGAGACCCCCGTAGCCCCCTTACGCTAGTTGCACACACACCGATTTTGGACGGCCAGTATAAAATCGGCGGATATTTTATTGGTAGCGGGTGCTTGCACACTCACCGGATTTTTATCGGTCAAACAATCAGTTGCTTTGTTGTCGTAATTAGCACGCACTACCAGAACGAATTAAATGCGTAGTAACTACAATTTCACTGAGCATTCGAGACTGGAATGGTCGGTAAAAAACCGGTGAGTATGCAAGAGTGCTTAGTGCTTAATACTTGAACGGCCCCTGACTGAAATTTGGTTGACAAAAACGATGTTGATTTCTTGTTCCATATCGATGTATGTTCAAACGGTGTTATCGATGTTTCTTTGAAGTCATTTTCAAGAACCAATTGAACTGAAGTAACATGACCTGATCCCCAAATCTCATCACCGGCTTTGTTCAATTTCAAGTGAACAAAGACAGAACAAAGTCATAAGTAAGCTACATCTGTGGATCCTCTCTCGTAATATTAGGTGCATTTCGTTCGCATTATTCTACTCCAGATTTGTCCGACCTGCCTTAAGTTATCCACTCTACCTGCTTCATCAAAATATGTTGAGAAGAGACGGTGTCAATGACTCAATCTGGAATGCATAACATTAGTGAGAACAAAATGCACATATCAACATCATATATAGATTGCCGAACGTCAACTTCCGCGGTTTAATTTGCAGTAACCTCACTTATTAGTTTCTGAAGAAAAATAATAGAATTGGCAACATCATTTATTGAGGATCAATCGACCATTGGCACCATCTTGCGGCAACGTCAGAACTATCCCACTCGTTCTACAACAATTTCTGAAACAAAAGTGAATCCCAACATTACCAGCGTGAAGTCATCTTAGTTTATTTGTCAAGTTATTTTTTTGTGAAAATTATTCTCCGCAGTATTATTTTTCGACATCCCATTTATTTGTATATTTGGATTAGGTTCCTTGATGAATTCGATCAAACTCATCAGTTATTGAAGAAATCTATGATGAAATCTGTATCTTCATCAAATAAAAATATTTCTGAAGAGTTCCGATCTGTTAGAATTTTATTTATGAATTCATAACCTAAAATGTTTCAACTCCCTTTCAACATTTACATCAATGTCTACCCAGGAGAGGACAGTTTTTCGTTCACGAAATACATTGTTAAAGATAGAAGACTACATGAGATAACAATGTGATTCATACAATTATTATCATACTGTTTATAGCTATATCACAAACTACATCCTCACAAATTTACCCAACTTGATCTTTATAATAATAATATTAATGTCCAGCATATGCGATCACGGCCTATATCCATCGACATAACGCGGCTCTAAGGATGCTTTATTACCACCTACGGCCATTTTTGCTGTTAACGAGACACCAATGCTGCTCTACGGTTCGGTGGATATTGAATCCGTTTTGGGTAACGAGAAGAGTCGAATTTATTGAAACTCCATTCCCCACCATCAGATGCATACAAGCTAATAAGCCTGATGTTCTTCTCGACCATGAGAGCAGGACAATATTTATCGTGGAGAAAAAATAAATTTTTGAAAATAAACCACTCATGTACAATTATCAATGACGAATCAATGCAAGAGAATACATCATCGATTAATATAATATCCGATGTAGGTATTCAGAAAGTTGCATCTGAAGAGAACGTAGTCGATCATATTGCCNTCAGTCAGTTTCTTTGAAATTATGAAACTGATCAATGGTTCCCTTATTTTTTTAATGGGTCCCTTAAGTTCTTTTTTGGAGGGACTCAAGGGCACTTTGCAGTCCCGGAAGTGCAAAAATATTCATTTACAACATTCCTTATTTATTATTTCTCTGCGATTGCCAAATAAGGATGCCGTATCTACACAGAATACTAAAATGACGCAGATACGGCATTATGGCTTAGAAAGTCAGCAAATATGTGTAACAATGAAAGCCGTATCTGACTTTTCAGTATAAAAAATTATTTTTTTTTTTAAATTTCCTGTTCAGTAGATTTTCAATATCATTCTACATCTTTCCTCAATCAAATATATCGTTCTACACGAAGAAATATCAAAAATACTTTGACGCTGGATTTCTCGATACTAGGTCACCAGTAGATACCGCATTTGATTTTAGCACGGCAGTAATACCATACTTGGATTCAATTGTCACCTCCCTTGAAGTACGTTTTTAATAACAAACTCCATATTCTGATTGTGAGATTTTCGTTAAACAGATGCGGTTTTGTAAACAGTTTGGTACAAATCCAACAATAAAGTAGTATTCAAATACGTTATGGATTATTATCAAATATTATCATTTATCATTACACTGTTGGACCACTGTTGTTGAACAAAAAATTCACGTTCGCACAGGACATGTATTGATTTGCTTGAAATTCAGGTTTTCGTTACGCAACCCTACTTTGTTCAGATGTTCCCTGAATGAACACTGATTATTCCAAGCCGGGACATTCGGGATTTCCTCATCCATGTGAGCTGACGAAACTAATCAACCATCGACTATTTGAAAATTTACAGATTAATCCACATCTTTCTGAACCTTTTCAATGGGATTATCAAATTTTTGAGGTGAGGTGTTTGACTATACGTATTCCAAGCCCTTCATTGGCATATTTGAAGAAAATTCCTGTCGAACAAAATGTGGGTTTTCTCTGAGACTAAGATCATTTATTCTATAATAATATCAAGTTCAGAATTACTTTGCTTCCAATGGATTTTTGTTATATCAACAAAAAAAACTGTATATGTATTTAAAGTCTATATATATGAAGTAACGGAAAGATTGACATTGACATAATTTTATTACCAATATTCGCTATTATGCTCTGTCAAAAAATATATTCGGATGATAACGTTGAAAACATCAGAGTATTCATAAGGGTACGGCCATTGAAAGATGAGGAAAGTACCAATCGAAAATCTAACATCGAAGTGAACAATAATACGATTTCATTCAATAAATATGGAACTATCAAAACATTCAAGTTCTCAGAAATCTTCGACGAACATAGTAGCCAGCTGGAAGTATATCGAGTTGTGGCAGTTCCCATAGTCGAGCAAGTTCTGCAGGGATATAATGGAACAATTTTTGCTTACGGACAATCGGGAACTGGTAAAACGTACACCATGATTGGAAATATTATGGATCCGGAACTCAAAGGCATTGTACCAAACATCTTCTCGCACATTTTTGCTCAAATAAGCCTTGCAAATAAAGACCTATCCTATGCCGTAACGGTAACCTACTTGGAAATTTACAACGAGGAAATTAGGGATCTGCTCTCTGAAACGCCAGAACGAAAGTTGATGATGCGGGAAAAACCTGGAGTGGGAGTCTTCATCAAAGACCTGTTAGGATTCACAGTGCATTCCTTAGAGGCCGTCACGGAGATTTTAGCGAAAGGCAACAAGAATCGTGCTACAGGTTGTACAAAACTCAATGACAACAGCTCCAGATCACATGCAATATTCAGTTTACTTCTTGAAAAAAAGAATAAAGTCACGAATCAATCCACTTTTGGAAAACTGAACCTAGTTGATCTTGCAGGATCTGAGAGGGTTAATAAGACATTAGCTACTGGAGATAGGCTTAGAGAGGCTGGAAAAATCAACTTATCTCTCTCAGTTCTGGGAAACGTGATATCAGCTCTCGTTGATGGAAAGAGCAGCCACATCCCTTACAGAAATTCGAAGCTAAATGTTATGAGCATAAATTAAATTTTTATTGGCAGTTCCCATTATATTGTCCATTCCTAATATCTATGAAATAATCACTGTACAATTTTACTTCAATCACTCCGCAGATGAAGAAATCAAGAAACGGTATTCGCACCTGGACCAGCTGCGGAACGGGATCTAATTAATTCATAAATTCAAATCTGAGATCCGTGAATTAAATGTTAATCCTAATTTGAACTCGAAATACAGTTGATGGTCTAGCTTGCAGGAATAATTTCCTACGAAATTATTCAACAGGCAATTCGAAACTATCGATCCTGTAGTTCGAAGACGGTGGCAGGAAATATATTGCCATGCATTGAGTATGACTCGCAAGATACCAAAGTGAACAGTATTTCTATGTTCCTCATTTCAGGGTTCACGCGACAGATACTTCCATAAGTTATGCATTCATTTCAGAAAGGAAAAATACAAATAACTTCAGAACTCTCTGCAGAAAACATTACATTTTTTCAAGGATAAAACACAAGCACTGCAGAGAAATTCTCAATGCGCTCTGAGAAAGTTGCTTGTGCGAAAGTAGTGATTCACATTGTATTTGAATCGCTGGAGATCAAATCCATTTGGAACAACGTTCTCGAGAAGTTTATTCCACTCGATCGCAGTTCTCTGAATGGCAGAATTCTCAAACAGTGAAGTTCAAGGTATACTAAGATGAACCTCAAAACGATGAGCAGCCATAGTTTGTCACGTATTTCTGATATGCTCCGCTCTCGATGGAATCAAATGTGCTAAGTCACTTGAACACTTCCTGTGAAAGTATCTATAGAAGAGAGACAAATCGCCATCGATGTTCCAGACTATCATACCCTGACATACCCCTAGGCATACCCTGAAGTTTCTGGATTGAATCCAGCAACCCCAGGCATACCCTGAAGTTGCTGGATTCCTAGAATCCAAATGGAATGACGAGACAAGTGTGCTGTCGTCAGCAAAGCAATAAATTGGATTCTTGGTTTTTTCCAATAAGTCGTTGATATACAATGAAAAGCGGGTTGAAGACAGTATAGATCCCTGGGGAAAACCAGCGTTGATGGTGAAATTATTCGAGAGATATCCATCGACGGTCATTTGCAGAGAACGTTCTTTCAGGAAGCTGAAGAGCCATAAACAAAATATGATCCGACAAGCCACAGCATCGAAGTTTGGTCAGTAAACCCTCATGCCACACACTGTCTAAAGCCTTAGAAACATCAAGCGCAACAGCTTTTGACTCTCCATGTTTCTCGATTGCGTTAATACAAAAATGGGTGACATACGAATCTGTCAAAAATGTGTATNTGTTCATTCTCCATGTTTCTCGATTGCGTTATTTCAAATATGGGTGACATACGATAGAAGGTTATTTGGAAGATTTCTTGTGTCTTTTTTGCGAAAAGGTTGAACGCGAGCAATCTTCCAACAAGAAGGAAAACCCCTTTTCTTGTAACCAGGTTGAAAAGTCTGCAAAATACTGGTGCGAGTTCAATTGCGAACTTTTTAGGTTTGATGACGGGCACTTGTTGCCCAGGAACAGACGCCTTGTTGATATTGAGCTTTTTAAAATTCGCCTGACCAGACGTTGTCGAAAAGTTATTTTCGGCATTGTGGAGTCTAGTGTGGGAATAGTGGGTGGTGCCGTTTCCAGAAAATCGACTGTGTAGTTGGACGGAAATTGTTTCGCTAGTAAATTTGCTTTTTTTGTAAAGTTTTGATTGACAGCTTCAGTTGCCGACCAGAAGGATCTAGATCCGTTGGGATTGGCAATAAGTTTATACCTAATTCTCTAATTGTGAAGTTCTTTGGAGGATTTCGTAAATGAACGGAAAAATATTGTAAATCAGAAACGACAAAATAGGATTCGTTTCTTGGAGTGGCTCTTATAAATATGTCTACTGAGAAGGCAAGATAAGGAAGAAAACAGAAAGAGGGCCGAATGGGGCTTCTAGTTCTCAATCGCCACAAAAGAAATAACCAGGAAATGAATTTTTGGCAAAAATATAACAATCTGCATTGACAGCAGACAAGCCCTATTAGCCTAGAACAGTCAACGTATAACCTCAGGGCTGGTACTAGAGTGTCAGCAAGATTTAGACAAAGCCTCGGTAGATAACATTATCCTGAGGTGGGTTAAAGGGCACGACAGGAGTGGAGGTAATCGAATTGTCGACTCTTCTGCCAAGGAAGCGGCTGGACTAAGAATTTTAGGATCCAGTGGCACCTACGGCCTGATACCTTCGACAATTGCGGAACTAGTCAAGTGTTACACTCATGCTCAATCCTTAAACAGATGAGATGGAATCAAAGGATGCAATCTTGCCAGGATCTTGCCTGGGAAGCTGGCGCCGAAGAAATATCTGGCAATGACCAGGAAAAATCTACGCCTAACAGTAGGATTTCTGACTGACCACTGTCAACTAAGGAAACACCTCCATAATATGGGGTTAGTGGACACACCTCTATGCAGGATGTGTGAACAGGAAGACGAGACTGTCAGGCATGTCCTGTGCGAGTGCCCGGAGTTATCGTCAATAAGAAAGTGTGTGTTCGGCGAGTCTTGGCCTACACCTGCCGATATGAAAGAGATAAAAGACGATTGAATTTTATGGCAAAATTTTCCGAACTCCATGATCTGAACAGAAGTACATAAAAAAATATTTGGATGAACAAAAGCCGTTTTTACAACAACTTTTTCTATAGGGTTTATTGAAAGAGGCGGTCGAAGATATGACAGAATGAATTTATACTCCGCCCAATTCCCTCAATAAAAAAAATCTAATCAGAGTCACAAATAATGAAATAGTCAGACGATTAGAAGCTTACCTTCGGGTAATAGGCGATGACTTCGACCAGTATTTCGATTTTTTTTCTGCTTATATTTGAATCCACTACCAGTAAGAATATTTATCAAATAATTCCAGCGTCTCGAATATGTCAAAGATGAATGCCATATGTTACAGAACAAATTGAGGACGAAACTCTTCACAGCTTATTCTGAAGTTGTTGCAAATTCCAAATACGACCATAACAAAAAAATAAGTGTTTTCTGTTATTGACGATTTTCTTGAAAATTGATTTTTTCTTCAATTTTTCATACTCAAAGGTTCCACGTTATTTATGCAAAACTTAACAAGGACTGAAAATTAACCGTGGCATAAAAAAGTGGGATATGAATGGGATCAGCTCCTCCTATTGTGAGTTTTTGTTTGATGCTAGAAACATGATGTGTCTTTTGAAAAATACAGCTTTATGTAGTGAGGTAATACCTGAAATTCTATGGAAAAATTACTGATACTTTAGAAATCAATGAGATGGAACAATTTGAAGTTTCAAATTTCAACTCTCTGTATTTCTGAAACGGTGTTTTTTTGAAAAATACTCAGTAAATAGTGATAAATTCATGGAATGGATCTTCCGTATCAATCAAAAACTGTTTTCATCAAAACCTTCTCTGAATATTTGGAAAAATATGTTTTGAAATTCCAAATAGTCGGAACTATTCAATACTCTATAGAATACTTGAAAATTATTGCCCTCGGAAAGATTTTTCTAGCCACAGCTTATTCATTATTATCGAAAAATTTGAATAGACTCTCATGTCAAGTTACAGTCACCATTTCTGTTAACCTACTAGTGTGGACAATGTCCAGCTCTCGAAAAAATATGTTTGTTATTGTTCAACTGCAATTTTGACATTATTCATTAGGAAACACTGAATCGAGTAGCCTCGTGAGTTCGATACAAGCAAACAGAAAGCTGCTCTTCTGGTTATATTTAAGGAAAACACGAGAGCATCAGGATATCCATTGTATCTCCGAAAAAACCCTTGGGGGACGAAAAACTTTGCAGTTTATCAATAAAGATAAGAAATTCCTCGCAAAAACTGGATAGAATGCGGGAAGAGTAAAGTTTGACCTTTTTTCTTTATGTCTAAGATAGTAATGGATGAATGGAAGCAAACTTCTTAGAAGGCGAGAGTGGTGTGGGATAATGGAATTTATGTGGGAATTAAATTTTCATTTATGTTAATGATTTTAAAAATCAAAATCAATTTGGAGAGTTGCATGAATATGCAACATCAAATATGCAATAAATCAAGTGGATATTTATCCACTTTTTTATATGGAAAAATTTTTGAAAACTATTATAAAATTGGCGAAAGAAGTTAATTGAAANAATATTTGGTGAAGGGATTGGGGTTAGTGTTTACTACTACTTTATTCACCAATAGCCGAATACGCGACTTCGAAACTGCGCATCTGTCAAAAATGTGTATGTCCAGAAAAGTTTCATTGAGCCTGACACTTATCTGTGTCAGACTCCAATCTCAGAATAGGAAAAGGTGTTTTGTTTGATTCGATGTTCATATAGAAGGTTATTTCGTACGTACTTTTCTTTAGTGTGATTCCATATTTATGCTAAAGTAGTCGTTTCGAGAGGATTTTTTCTTCCAGTTTCTGTCTGAAAGAAACTCCTTCGCATTATCTACACATCTTTGTGGAGAGTTTACTTTGAAATCGATTGTTCTTCTCCTTCCTTCCTTTCGAAGTTTCATGTATTTTTTTTTTGAAGATGAAGAAGTACAAAGCTGAAACATTCATTTACGTTATTCCGAAAACTGAATGAATTGTGGTTATGAAATTCTTCTAGTGTTTTTATGTAGGAACCGTGAGTAACCTAATATAAATTCCATATACCTGATGCAGTCTTTTCATAATCTCTCTAGCGTCTTTATTTTTTGCGCCACAGGAGACTTACTTCCCATCGCCGATGAGGTTCTCACTATATTGAGGAAAATGTACCATGGTCTGTTAATCTTAGAGTGGATTGTTCTATGCCTGCTCAATGACTAACCGAATGAAGTTAAAAGCTTCGTCAGGAATCTCAATTTTCCTCGAGTTTGAATTCAATTCAGAAATATCCAATATATGTGATCAAATTGTCGAAGTAGGGTGGAGCGATTTTCTGCTATTGGGTGATTCTAGTTTGAGTATCACTCT